TGAGGGAAGTGTGGAGCAGAGGAAGGGCCGGCAGGTGTGGGACAGCCCTGCAGGGAGGAGCTGGGTGGGCTCTGAGTGTCCGATGGTTCTCGCTGTGACTGTGAGGGACGAGCTCCACCCTGAGCCGCTGGGGTTGTACTGCACTTAAACTGGGGGTGAGATCCAAGGGCCCTGCACCTCTCCTGTTACTTGTTTGGAGAGGAGGGATGTCTCCAAAGGGGCTTCCCCAAAACTACAGCCGGTTCTCTAAGACTAACCCCCTCAGGGGGCCAGCCCTGAAGCCCCCAGCCCGCGGGTGGGACGTTCCCCGTGTCTCAGCCGCGCTTTGCTCTGCTCTGTTCCAGATTCCCGTCTCCAGAATCTCCCCGATGCCATTTCCTGCGGGCCAGGTCTCTCCCAGGGCACGTTTCCCCCTCTCCCTCGCCAGTCCGGGCAGGACAGGGGCCAGGACCTTGGCCGACATCAAGGCGAGAGCCCAGCAGGCCAAGGCTCAGAGGGCAGCGGCCGCCGCCGCCGCCGCCAGCGCCGCCGCCGCCGCCTCGGCCGGGGGGGCCGTGCCGGGGCCAGGCCCGGGCGGGGGGACACCCCCGGGCAGCGGCACCACCCAAACCCAAACTGGAACGGCGGGGAACGCACTGGAACTGGCAGGAGCTGGAAGCGGGGGAGGTTCGAGAAGGTTTCTTCCCCAGTGCCCAGGGCCCTGTTCCCAGGTGGAGAGCCCGGCGGCGGAGCAGGGAGCTCCTGGCAATCCTTCTGGAGCACAACTACAGCCAAGGGCCCCCGCCCGGCCCGGAGCACCCGGCACCGGCTCCTCCTGCACAGCCCCGGCACTAGGGAATGGGAGTGGGAATGGGAATGGGAGTGGGAATGGGAACGGGGGGGCCGGGCCGAGCCCCCCGCAGGTGACGGTGACCCCGGGGACGGGATCCCCGCGTGCCGGGACCGGGGACAGAGCGGGGACGGCCCCCTGTGCCCGCGGGGCTCCGGCGCTCGGGGACGGGCCCGGCTGCGGCACCGGCACGGCCGTACCCGCGGGAGCACCCACGGCCTCGGGAGGGACCAGCTCTGACGAGTCCAAAAGCAAATCCCCTGCCCCCCTGGTGTCCTCACTTCCATCCGCAGGCCCCGAGGCCCAGGCTGGAGCTGTGGGCGCTCCTGCCCCCGTCCCACCCTGCGGCGCTCCCTCAGCAGCACCCGGCCTTAAAACCCCCCCGGGCGGGGCCCTGCCCAAAGCCAGCTCCAGTATTCCTGCCAACAACCCTTTGGTCACCCAGCTGCTCCAAGGCAAGAGCGTCCCCCTGGAGCAGATCCTGCCGAAGCCGCTCACCAAAGCAGAGATGAAAGCGGTGCCCTTGGCTCCTCGGGAAGAGAAAGGGGTAGTGACTCCTCCCGGCGCGGTGGGGAACGGCACCGGGGCCGAGGCGGGCGACAGACCGTCGGGTTTGCCCTCACAGCAGCTCGGGAAGGTCTTCTGCCAGAACAGGCCTCTGCCTCACATTCCAAGGACCTTCCCGCTCCCCTCGGGAAAGGAGCCCGGCCATGAGCAGCACCAGTGCCACGAGGCGCTGAGCAAGGCGACCCAGGAGCAGATCCTCCAGACCCTCATCAAGAGGGTGCAGAGGCAGAATTTGTTGCCCGTCCTTCAGCCCTCGCAGCTGAACCTCCCACACTCAGGTTTCCCAGTGGAGAACAGTTCCACCAGCCAGAGATTCATGCTGGGCTTCACGGGCAGGAGGACGTCCAAGCCTGCCATGTCTGGTCATTACCTGCTCAACATCTCCACCTACGGCCGCGGCTCGGAGAGTTTGAGGAGAGGCTTCTCCTTGAACCCCGAACTCCGCCTGGGGCTGAGCAGTCCCGCGGAGGGTCCCAGGGCAGAGTTTGGGGAGTGCGAGGAGGGGGCCGGCCCGGGCAGCAGCAGCGAGGAGGACGCGGATGACGAGAGCACCGGCGACGAGCGGGAGCACTTGGGCGTCAAGGAGGAGCCGCAGGCGTCCGGTCAGCGTGAGAGAGAGCGGGGATCTCACAGCACCAGCCCCGTGGGTCCCGGCTCCCTGGGGACGAGGGCCGGGAAGGCCGAGGCAGCGCCGGCAGCCGGCACCAAGGAGAGCACTGCGGCGCTGGACGGCACCGCGCTGGCCCGGGACCTGCTGCAGGCCGCGCAGGAGCAGATGGCACACGCCATGAGGGGGAGGATGCACAGCAGCCCGGAGCTCTTCGGGCCTCCCGCCCCGTCCCCGGACTCGGCGCAGCCCCCGCTGCTCCCCGCCCCGCACCCCCCAAAGGGCTCTGCCGGGGCGCAGCTCCTGGGGCCCAGCTACAGCGGCACCATAAACGTCTCCACCTCGCCCGACGTGAGCCAGGGCTCACTCATCACGGGGCTGTCCGAGTGCAACCAGCTGGCCAGTTCCATGGGGAACGTCATGTCCTTCTCCGTGACCGTCACCACCATCCCCGCCGGCCAGGCCGTGAGCTCCGGCGGGCACGGGCAGCCCCTCCCGGTGCAGGCCTTCGCCGAGGACGGCGGCGTGGAGGACCCCCCTTCCAAATGTTACTGCAGGTTGAAAGCCATGATCATGTGCAAGGGCTGCGGGGCCTTCTGCCACGATGACTGCATCGGCCCCTCCAAGCTCTGCGTCTCCTGCCTCGTCGTGCGGTAACCGGGACGGCTCGTGGGGAAGAGGATGGCTCCATTTAGGGTTTGCTTTCGGAACTATGTTGGGAAGAAACAGGAATTTTACTGCCTTGCACAAGAGACACGTTACTGAATCAGGAAAACAGAGTAGAGTCCTTCTTTCATTAACGAAAGAGCACCTTCTTGTACAGGGAGTCGAGATCGCGCTCGACTGCGTGAATTGTGACAAGAGTTTGCACTTAAGGAATTATGTAAATATGTCACATTATTTTGTTTAAAGATATTTTTTCAATCTTTTAGGAGGTAGTGTTTGACTTGTGCTGCAGTTTCAGTAACCCCAGCCCGCTCTGAGCGTGTTTGCTGAGCTCTGCTCGACGTGGGGGCTCCAACCCGCAGCCTGTGGTTGGTCTTCTCCTGGCAAGGAGGAGAACGGGATAATCCCAATCCATCCGTGTGTGCTGACCGGGGACAGAGCCCTGAGAGGGCTCCCTTGGCTGCCCTCTGGTTCAAATCTTTGGGAATTGGAAGGCACTGCCAGTGTCGTGCCAGCCTTTCCAGTCATTGCCTTCCCCCCGTGACCTGGCTGTTCCCAGGAGGCTCCTGGGCTGTGCAATATGGGCTGGGGTTTCTGAGCTGCAGATCCTCTCCCGGGAGGCACTTCCAGTCACACATTGTGAGGGAGGTGGTGCCTGGGTGTGTGACTGGGCAAACTGAAAGAAGGAACTGTCCCGGCCATGGGGCCCAGAGTCCCTGGAACAGCTCAGGAACTGGGATTGTCGGTGCCCCCTGAACCACTGAGAGCAGAGCTCACACAGCTGTGCTGGGACTGTCAGGACCGGGCAGGAATCTGCTCTCCTGGGCGTTCCCAGTGAGCTGGGAGGTGCCCTCCTGCAGCCCAGGGCCAGCAGCTGCTGGGACACGGGGGCAGGTGAGGGGCACAAAGCGTCACCCTCGGACCTGCCACGTTCTGGGAAGCGTTTTGTGCTCCTCCAACCCCCCCGTGGTCAGACATCTCCAGTTTCTCTCCAAGATTCTGTGTTTATTCCGTGTAGGGAAAGGCAGTGAGTGTCTGGTTGGGCCTCTCTGGGCAGCTCTCTGTGTTTGAAGAACCAAACCAGGCTCAGCTCAGCTCGGGTTGGGCTCAGCTGAGGGGAAGGATGGGCTGGGGATGGGGCTGCCCCTGCCCCTTGTGCCTGACGGGGCCAGACACAGCTGGGGACGCTCGTCCTCACTGTCCATTCCTGGATTCCTTCCGCTGGAGGATGGAAACTGCAGCAGCCCCGCGGTGGCCCCGCGTGCCCTCGGGAGCTGAGGACGGGCTCACACGGGGCACTCGTCACACCAGGGCTGTTCAGAGACCACCGGGCTCGGTGGGCCCGTCCAGTCCCACACTGTCCCTGCCCGCCTCCTGGTCAGGGAACAGAGCTGGGTATGTTTTTGATGGAAAAGCACTGAATTCACTTTGAATCCAAAGGCCTTTTAAAGCTGAAGCAATATTCCCACGGCAGTGGGACGGCTGTGTGGTGCACGGGGTCCTCAGCCCTCCTTTCCTCTCCCTTGGCTGTACTACTGCTTCCCCTTCCCTTCTCCCCCCGGGAACCTGGCACGTGGTGGGAGGAGCAGAAATAATTGTCTGGGAGGTTTTTCAAGGAGCAGGCACTGCCCAAACCTGCCAGAGCTCCAGGAGGGTTTGGACAGCGCTCTGAGGCACAGGGTGGGATTGTTGGGGTGTCTGTGCAGGGCCAGGAGTTGGACGTGATGGTCCTTCCAGCTCAGGATATTCCATGGTTCTGTGATTTATTTGGTGATGGTAAGGAAAAGGGAGTTGCAAACTAAATCCCGTGGTAGCAGGAGTGTTTCCTTCCCTGCCCTGCAAGTGCAGCTGCCTCCGGAGCAGGAGCTGCAGCATCACTTGGTCTGGGACTTGCTCATCTTGAATTCATTGCAGAGCAGTGGCCCCCCCTCTGTCTGATTCCACATCACTGCTCAGCCATCCCGTGGAGAGGATTTAGGGATTAGAATCTTATTCATTGCAGAGCAGTGGCCCCCCCTCTGTCTGATTCCACATCACTGCTCAGCCATCCCGTGGAGAGGATTTAGGGATTAGAAATGAACTCAATTTTTTTTAATCTAAAACTGAAATCTCAAAAAAAACTGCACAAAATTGCTCTGCGAGCGTCTCGCGTTGGTGGTGGTTGTTGCCCAGGAATACCCCAGGCTGTGTGTGTTCCCACCACTTCCCACTTCCAGCTGGTGTCCTGGAATTCTGAGTAACCCTTGTCCATGTCCCAGTCCTGACAGCAGGATCTTTGCACCTGGCTGTGACCCAGTGGCACTGGCTGCAGTGTGCACTGGAGAAGACCATGGGCAGTGACCTGCCTGTGTCCCTGAGCACTCACCGGTGTCTCACGGGCTGCCGCTGAAAAGACAATTCCAGTGTTCCTCTGGCATTTCCCAAACCATCCCTGCCCTGGCTGTGCTTCCAGCTCCTTCATCCCATTAAATTTTACCGGTGTCCTCTGCTGTGCATGGATTTGGGGCTCTGTGCCAGTTCCCTGGCAGTGCAGGGAGCTGCTGGTCCCTGAGCTGTCCCACGGGAATGTGCCCGCCTGGCCCTCGCTGGCCCGGGGTGGGATGGCTGGTGATCCAGAGGAGGATGGCTGGTGATCCAGGGTGGGATGGGTGGTGATGGCTGGTGATGGTGATCCAGGTGGGATGGTTGGTGATCCAGAGGGGGATGGTGATCCAGGTGGAGTGGCTGATGATCCATGTGGGATGGCTGGTGACCCAGGTGGGATGGCTGGTGATCCAGGTGGGATGGCTGGTGATCCAGAGGAGGATGGCTGGTGATCCAGGTGGGATGGCTGGTGATCCAGAGGAGGATGGCTGGTGATCCAGGTGGGATGGCTGGTGATCCAGAGGAGGATGGCTGGTGATCCAGGGAGGATGGCTGGTGATCCAGGTGGGATGGCTGGTGATCCAGAGGAGGATGGCAGGTGGGATGGCTGGTGACCCAGAGGAGGATGGCTGGTGATCCAGGTGGGATGGCTGGTGATCCAGAGGAGGATGGCTGGTGATCCAGGTGGGATGGCTGGTGATCCAGAGGAGGATGGCTGGTGATCCAGGTGGGATGGCTGGTGATCCAGGTGGGATGGCTGGTGATCCAGAGGAGGATGGCTGGTGATCCAGGTGGGCTGGGTGGTGACCCCAGACATGGAGGTGGCCCCAGGCTGGCACTGGCCAGTGCAGGATAGTGGGTGGTGGCTCGGGAGTTCACACCTCTGTCAGTGCCTTAGTTCCATTTCATGGATCAACACTTTGCTTGGGCTACTTTTCTCCTGTTCAGACAATAAATTCTCTTAGGCCCGTCCCTGGTTTGAACAGGCTCCTGGTGCAGGCTGGTGGAGCAGCTCTGCGGGTGTGCAGAGGGCACTGATGGGGAGGAAATCCTTGGGATAATGGGCTTGGTGTAATAATCACTGCAAGTACCCCCCTCTTGGAATAGGGTAAAGCCTTGGAAGCTGCAGCTGGTTGTGGGATGATGTGTTTTAGAAGGGGAGATCCTGCAGCCTGTGTAGCTGCTGGCATGGGATCAGCCTGTCCCACTGCTGAGGCTCCTTCCTGCAGGACAACAGCCCCACCTTCACACTGGATTTATGAACAAAGGGATGTCACAATGTGGGTTAAACCGTTAGACTTGGGTTCCCAGGGAATTCATCCAAGAGCACTGCAGGGAATGCTGGCATCCCAAATCCAAAATAAATGATTCTAAAGCCTGACGTCAGAGTTTGGGTTTTGGCAGAGAAAGGAACCTCAGTGAGGAAAGAGATTCAGGTTTCAGTCTCCCTGTTCAGGAAGCAGAACTGGAATTACAGCCTGACCAACACTTCTCTTCCCAACCCCAGACCCCACGGACGGGTTGTGGCACTGGAAGTGCCAGCACAGCTCTGGGAGTTCAGGTTTTGAGCCAGGTGGGCATCAAGGGAAGGAATTTGGTGTGGAATGTCACTGTCCCTCCCTAAGTCCCCAGGAAAGAAGAGGTTCTGAGCAGTTGCACTGGTTGGGGAGCTGTGTCTTTGTTCTGGTTGTATGAAACAGCTGCTGGGGTGGTGATTCCAGGTCAGGTCGTTGCAGCCCGAGGGATCCTCAGGTCCTCACCCCCGGGGGGTGTTGCTGCTCCAGGGGCAGCTCCAGGGGCAGCCAAGCCCATCCTGGGGCGGGAGGGTGGGTTGGAAGCGGGTTTGGGGCCTCTCTCCTGGGGAAGCTCAGTGTGAGGGTTCAGGTGAGGCCGGGAGGGTTTGGAGAACGGGAGCGGGATGGGGTTTCCCTCTGCAGGGACTCAGGTTTGGCTCAGGAATAGCCTCACCAGGGAAGGATCCCTTGGGAGCTGAGCTCGGGCTCAGCTGGGAGAAGGGGGCTCAGCTGGGCCCTGGGGTCAGCGCTGGAGGGGCTCAGCTCTGAACTCTGGGATCCCCCGGCAGGAATGTGGGTGGCTCTGGGAATGTGGGGGGGCTGTGGGGCTGGGAGGGGCTGGGGTGGCACTTGCACCCTGAATTCTCACTTTGATTAGCACAGATTAATTGGGGGGACACACACCACTCCCAGGCTGCCAGGGGGTGTTCCAGGCCTGGGGGAACGCGTGGGGTCCGTGTGTGTCCCACGGGGCCAGAGCGTGTGCTGGGAGGGAGAGATCCCGAATTTCCCTCGTTCCCCGGGTTGTTTTTAAATGCTATATGTTTGCTATAACTGCAGAGCGAGTTTAAGAGCTTACAGTAATATATTTTAAGTAATATATATTTTAGTATCTGTAAAAGGCGTGGGCAGAGGATGGTTTCTGAGGTGGATAACAGGGTACAGGGGGGAGCAGTTCCTCGGCGAGGCCAAGGGGGGGGTTCTTGCAGGAAAACTGAAAAGGTTCAGTTTTTGCCATTAATGCAATAAAAATGGGAATTCTCACAAAGAAGCAATCCAATACTGTTTCCCAGAGGCTTTTCCTGTGTGGACAACAGGCCTGTAAACACAGTTCCAAAATTCCTAAACCTTTGTCTTTTGCCTTTTTAAAAGGGACTTCAGTTGGGCTCAAGGGGCTGTACAGCAAAATCAAGGTGACACCATTTGAAAATGTATTTTTACACAAATAATATAGAAAAAAAATCATATTTTACATAAGAATTTTAAGTATTTGAAATATGTGTATATATATATACTGTATGTACTTCGTATATGCTTTATTTTACATTTTCAATGTATTAAAAAGTATTTGAGCTGGTTGGATCTGAGGTGTGATAATGTCTAAAACACACCAAACAAAGGCAGAGGAGCTGGGAGGGAAGAGCAGGCGTGAGCTCTGCAGGGAACCACTCGACTGTCAGAGCTGCCCTGGGCAGGGCTGAAGGGCTTTCACCCCAAAGCCACTGCCCTGAGGGGTCTCACTGGGGGGAAGGTGAACTTGGGGGGCTGTGAAGGGATGAGCACTGCTGTGCCTCAGCTCCCTGTCCAGAGGGATCCCACCTTCATCCCACTCCTCTCCATCCCCCACCTGCAGAACCACCTGAGAGGGAAGGACAGCTTTGGGAGCCGGTTCACATTTAAGGTGTGTGGCTGAGATAAAATAAAGAATAGCAAAGTGGTGGAGCTGCTGCACTTCCAAACAGACATTCCTTACTCCCCTGGCACTGCTGCATCTCCCAGCCCTTCCTCTCCCAGTTTAAAGCTGAGCTGAACTGGTCTCCCGTCCCTTTGAGTTCAGGCTCCTCCGATGCCGCATCACGGATTTTATACTGGAAAAGCTGGGCCGGGAGTTTCACCCTTGGGGGCCTCTGGGCTCCTCCTCGTGGTCAGATTCCAGGGATGGGATCCCACGGGCCACGAACACGGTGCAGCTGCTGCAGCTTCCCCCGGGCCTGCTTCCCAACAGACAGGATTTACCTGTCCTGAAGGGGCAGGTGTCACCTTGAGCCTCATGCACAGAGGTTTCAGGAACACTTTTTTAATCTGGTGGACAGAGATGTCCCAGGGATGTGCCCAGAAACCGACTCCAAGGGTTTTCCAGCGCCTTCCAGGTGAGTGCCAGCACAGGCTCTGTCACAGGCCACGCTGAAATCAGGAAACTGGTGAGGGTTGTACAGAGAAAAAAAAAATAAAAAATGGCAATTTTAAGGCAGTGAGGTGATTTCTGGGCATTTAAACCAGCAGGGAGCAGTCCCACCCAGGAGCAATCCATCAGGAACACGTGTCCATTGGGATGCAATCCATGTGTCCACTGGGATGCAACCGTGCCCTTTGGCAAAGGTGGGTTCATCAGGTTTGCTGCTCGTTTTGCTGACAGGGAACTGCACTTTCCTGGCTTTATAAGCTGGTTTTGACACCCATTATGTCTTCTTTTGGCACATTTTAAGGGGAAAACTTGGGTTTACTACTAAGCCTTAATAAACCCTCTGCAGTTCCCTCGCTTCTTGGGGTCCCTAAGCACTTGGGGAGCACTGAGCTGTAGGTTTGGGAAGAAGAAAGAAACAGGGAAAAAACCTGTGTCAAGTGATGGGAGCTTGATTTCCCTGAAATGGAGGGATTCAGGGAAACAGGTGTGAAACCAGCTCTCCTGATTTTCTGCCAGGAAAGCTCTGAATGCACTTAACAAACTCGGTAAAATCAGCAGGAGCGTGAGACACCTGAGAGTGGGCAGGAGCCTGAGATTTCTTTTCCCTGGATACATTAAAAATACCAGAAATGTCTATTTTTGAGTGTGGAAAGGTGTTGTGAAGGGCTTGGGAACCTGCCAGTGGGAATAATCCATCCCGACCCTCGTTGCAGCTTGGTGACATCACCAGATTTTAACTTGTTCTTCTCCTTTTTAATTCACGCGAATAATTAATTAGTTAAGTAAATAAGATCCTGAGCTGTTTTTAGCCAGGCAGGACTCCCCTGGGACCCTCGGGAAGGAGGAGGATGGGCACAGCCCGCAGGTAGGAAAGAGTGAAGCCTGAACTCCCCATATCAGAGACATAAATAACTAAAGCCAGGGCACCACCTGGTGTTTTTCCAGGTTCCAGCACTTCTCCCCACAGCCCTCACTGGGTTTTTTCCCAGTGCTGGTTTGGGTGGGCACTGCCGGGGAGGTGTGGGGGGAGAGGGATGGAGGGTGGGTGGCACCTGTATCCAGGTGGGATGCGGGTGGGAAGGGGTGGATGCGGTCAGGGAATCATGGAATTGGTGGCACCTGTATCCAGGTGGGATGTGGGTGGGAAGGGGTGGATGCGGTCAGGGAATCGTGGAATTGGTGACACCTGTATCCAGGTGGGAAGGGGTGGATGCGGTCAGGGAATCGTGGAATTGGTGGCACCTGTATCCAGGTGGGATGTGGGTGGGAAGGGGTGGATACGGTCAGGGAAACATGGAATTGGTGGCACCTGTATCCAGGTGGGAAGGAGTGGATGCGGTCAGGGAATCATGGAATTGTCTGGGTTGGAAATGCCCTCTGAGACCATGTTACGACCCGCCCCAGAATGGGGTGAGTAACCCGGGTTCTTATTAATGAACCCCTCGGGGTGCATTAGAGTGAAACGACACCGAACGATCGGCGTTCGAAAACATTGTCTATGTGGGGTTTATCTTAGGACGATTTTCTTTCAAAGGTAAACGGGTATGTTGCCGTTCTGGGTGTCATCATCTGCATCTATCGTCTGTAGCAATATGGTGTAAAGATAACCTTTAGGGAAAATGCGTAAGGGAGAGAGGGAAACACAGGGCTGTGTGTGTGAGGGGTGAGGGGACGGTTGTGAGGGCTGGCTGTGGATGGAGCTGTGAGGGGACGGTTGTGAGGGCGGGCTGTGTGTGTGAGGGGAGGGACGGTTGTGAGGGCGGGCTGTGTGTGTGAGGGACAAGCGGACGGTTGTGAGGGCGGGCTGTGTGTGAAGAACAAGCGGATGGTTGTGAGGGCGGGCTGTGTGTGTGAGGGGACGGTTGTGAGGGCGGGCTGTGTGTGTGAGGGGACGGTTGTGAGGGCGGGCTGTGTGTGTGAGGGACAAGCGGACGGTTATGAGGACGGGCTGTGTGTGTGGAGCGCGGACCGGGGGCTCAGAGGCCGGCCCCGCCGCTGCCCTGGCCGCGAGCCAGCGGGGCTCGGATTGGCGGGGGGCCGCGCGGGGCAATTGGCCGGGACCGTTGGAGCGCGGCCGGGGCTGAGGCGGCCCCGCCGGCCCTGGAGCCACCCGGACCCCGCGGGAACCCACCGGGACCCCTCGACCGCGGCCCGGGACAGGTGGGAGCTCGGGGCGCCGGGCTGGGCCCGGGGGAAGCGTCCAGCGGGGGCCGGGCCGGGCCGCGGGGCCCGTGGGGGAGCCCCGGCGCGCAGCGGCCCCGGGCTGTGCGGGCAGCGGGGCTGGGCCGGGCCGGGCTGCGCTCTGCTCCAGAACAGCGGCTGCTGGGACACGGAGGGTGCGGCTCCAGCGCTTGGGATTAGCGGGAGACACCACCAGGGCAAAAGCAGCGCCGTGTTGTGTCTGCGAAATACGGCGGATGTAATTTTTCTGTGGGAAACCGCTGCTTTCTCGGAGGGAAAAAAACCAAACCACTTCCTTTTTTCCCCCATCTTTTTAGGTCGTCGGTTAAATGTTTGGAGAAGGAACCGAGCCCAGGAAAGTGGGAGCTGCCCAGAGAGGCTCCTCAGTGTGATCCAGGTACCGTGATCTGTTGGACTGACTGTGGGATCAAGCATAAATGCTGTTATCAGGTGCCTGTTTCTTACAGAACTGGTCCTGAATTTTTCATTTCTGACAAACCTGTGGCCTGGAGCAGTGATTTCTGCGTTTTCTGTCATGTATAGGACATGTAAAAATATTCCTCTGTGAGATACACTCCTCTACTTGAAATTCCCACAGAATTGCGTCGTTGTGGGACACATCCCTTGGCTGGGGAAGGTGAATCTCATGATGGAATGGTTTGTGTGAGAAGGGACTTTAAAGAACATTTAATTCCCCTCTCCCTGCCATCGGCAGGGACACCTCCCACTATCTCAGGTTTCTCCAAGCCCTGTCCAACCCAGCTTTGGACACTTCAGGGATCCAGGGGCAGCCACAGCTTCTCTGGGCAACTCGTACCAGGGTCTCCCCACTCTCAGAGCCCCAGTGTAGTGCTGTCTCCTTCCCGAGGGGATTACTGAGCCACAGGGAACGGGCAGGGTGGCACAGAGATACTGTGGAAATTGTTTCTGTGCTGCTTCAAGTCTCAGATGGGACAGAATCAGAGTTCTGGAGGTTGGCAGTAGTTGTGTGTTGCTGCCCTTCAACTGTGCTCTGTACTTCCAGTTTCTTTGGTTACTCTGGTTCCTAAAACTGTTTCTTTCTTCTTCCTGTTTCTTTCTTCTTCTTTTCCCTTTTTTTCTTCTTCCCAAACCTACAGTTTAGTGCTCCCAAAGTGTTTAGGGACCCCAAGAAGTGGGGGAACTGCAGAGAGTTTATTAAGGCTGATGCTGGCACAGGTTGCCCAGAGAAGCTGTGGCTGCCCCTGGATCCCTGGGAGTGCCCAAGGCCAGGTTGGACGGGGCTTGGAGCAACCTGGGCTGGTGGGAGGTGTCCCTGCCCGTGGCAGGGGTGGCACTGGATGGGCTTTAGGGTCCCTCCCCACCCAAACCTTTGATCATTCTGTGCTCTGTCTGGTGTGGCTGCCCAGTGACAAACCATTCCATGTGCCTGAACCAGTTGTTCAGAAAGTTTCAGTTCCAGTTTTCCTCTGCCCCCTAAATCCTCGCTGTGCTTCCACCTGCCCAGGATGCTGCTCCAGAGGCCTTTTCCTCGGCCACGTTGTCCTGTTAAATCCTCTTTGGGTTTTTCCAGGATCCCACTGGTAAGGGGCACATCCAGGAGCTCCTGTAGGTGCCGTGGGGCTCCCTCTCATTGTTCCCTGCTGGTTCTGTGCTGCTGAATGCAGAAGCCATGCCAGGATTGCCCCAGGCTCCCCAGGATTGTCCCAGGATTGTCCCAGGCTCCCCAGGATTGTCCCAGGATTGCCCCAGGCTCCCCAGGATTGCCCCAGGCTCCCCAGGATTGTCCCAGGATTGCCCCAGGCTCCCCAGGATTGCCCCAGGCTCCCCAGGATTGTCCCAGGCTCCCCAGGATTGTCCCAGGATTGTCCCAGGCTCCCCAGGATTGCCCCAGGATTGCCCCAGGCTCCCCAGGATTGCCCCAGGATTGTCCCAGGCTCCCCCCCAAGGATTGTCCCAGGCCCTGCCCCAGGATGTCCCAGGATTGTCCCCCAGGATTGCCCCAGGCCCCCCGTCCCAGGATTGTCCCAGGCCCCAGGATTGCCCCAGGATTGCCCCAGTCCCAGGCGCCCCAGGATTGCCCAGGATTGCCCCAGGCTCCCCAGGATTGTCCCAGGATTGTCCCAGGCTCCCCAGGATTGCACCAGGCTCCCCAGGATTGTCCCAGGATTGTCCCAGGATTGCCCCAGGCTCCCCAGGATTGCCCCAGGATTGTCCCAGGCTCCCCAGGATTGTCCCAGGATTGTCCCAGGCTCCCCAGGATTGCCCCAGGATTGTCCCAGGCTCCCCAGGATTGTCCCAGGATTGTCCCAGGCTCCCCAGGATTGCCCCAGGATTGCCCCAGGATTGCCCCAGGATTGCCCCAGGATTGCCCCAGGATCCCCAGGATTGTCCCAGGATTGTCCCAGGATTGTCCCAGGATTGCCCCAGGATTGTCCCAGGATTGCCCCAGGATTGTCCCAGGCTCCCCAGGATTGTCCCAGGCTCCCTGGTTTTTTGGAGCAGGCTGCTTCTTTCAACAGGCTGTGGGTCATTCAGAACTTGTTGGCTGTGGGAGAAGAAATCATGGTTTTGTTGTCTCTGTTTGGTTTGGTGTTTATTAAAAGACTTGTGCCAGTGAAGACTTTTAGGCAGCCTAGATCTGGGAGAAGAGGTAGGAGACCTTACAATGTGATATCTGTTGTGGAGTTTTATTTGGCCAGGTGCATCTCTTTGGAAACAAAGGGAGTTATGATAGCAGGGTGCCAATTCATTACTAAATTTTAAAAGGATTGGATGTCTGAAGGATGTTCTGTGGTTCAAAACCACTTAGAATTATAATAATTCAAAGTAGTTACTGATTGACTACAGGGGTGAGGTATTTTTCAGTCTTCATCAGTGCAGCTTTTAACTTCATTTGGGTCAAAGGACAGACTTGGTGATGATGGAGGTCTTTTCCAAGCTAAATGATTCTGTGATTTAAGAGATGGGGGAGTGAAGGGGTTGTTCTGGCATAAGGCAGACAGGGAGGGAGCTGAGGCCTTAATTTAACTTATTTTTCAAAACAGAAAGTGCCAAAGCTTAAGGGAGTTTTAGTTTTCAGTGCTTGGTTTTACAGAAGCAATGGCCTGTCACCAATTAAAGTTTTACTTCTGGCTTACTTTGGTTTTGCTTTTAAGTTAATGTAGGAGATGAAATTAAAGAATTAAAACCCAGCAAGCCCTTTTATCCCTGACTCAGCTGTGATCAGGAGAGTGGTTCATATTTCCAGGTGTTTCTCACTGCCCCTGGACTGGGATTACTGGGATTGCTGGGGTTTCCCTTCCCTGCAGCTGTGCCAGGGGAGCTCTGGGTGAACTTTGCTGAGGGTTGGGTTGGGTTGGTCCTGTCAGTGCTCCCAGCTGTGTCACCTGCTGCATCCCCCACCCTGGGTCAGGAGGGAAAGGGGCACAAATGGAGCTCAGAACATCTCCTAATAATGAATATTCCCTTTGGCTGAAGAGGCAGCTTTGGAGTTCTCTGCTGTGCTCTGTGAGCAGTGCTGGGCCCCTGCAGGGTGCAGTGGCTGGGAAGGGTTTGCCAGATCCATTTTGGGAAGCACAGCTCTTAATTAGGGTATTTCCAGCTTCTTACTGCTTGAAAATCCTGGTGGAATGTTTCATTACCTTACCTGACAGTGGCACTGCTTTATTTTAAGGAGACAGTTTGGGCTGCTGGATTTGCTCTTGTTTGCAGGCTCGTGGTGAATCCCACATACAGACCTTACCTTCAGCCTCCAACAGATTGTAAAAAGCCATTCCTGCTGCTCAGGCTTTGGGGCAGTTCAGTGCAATCAGTGTTTGGCTCTCTGGGTACTCAAGTAAAGCATTTCAGTGTCGTGGGCACTGAGTGTCCTGAATTCTCTGCCCCCTCTCTGGTTTGCTGGGGAACAGATCTGACTGTGTGTAAACACAGAGTGTTGCTGGGTACCTAAAATATCACCTGGGGCAGGAACCTGCAGTGCCTCTGTCACCCTGGGCACTGGCTGACCCTGGAGTTCCTCAGGGCTGGGATTTCTCTCTGTTCTGGGCACTGACCTGACACTTGCAGACCTGAAGTGACAGAAATGCAGATGGTCTGGGACTCTCCTGGGTTTGAATTTGTTCTGTTTTGTCCTGAGGGAACCTGGAGCTTCTTTTTAAAGTCGTGTTGAAAGCTTTGGAAAGTTTTCAGAGAAAGCCACGGTTAATGTTGGTACTTGTTCCATCTTTGTTTAACTTGCATCCAGTAAGATCTGTATCCATTTCTGACCACGTGGGCACGGGAGGTTGCTGGGCTCACACTGGGGCTTAGGCCAGGATGTTTTCATGGAATCACGGAATGACTGAGGTTGGAAAAGCCCTCCCAGCCCATGGATCCTCCCTGTGCCCCATCCCCACCTTGTCCCCAGCCCAGAGCACTGAGTGCCACGGCCAGGCCTTCCTGGGACACCTCCAGGGCTGGGCACTCCAAACCTCCCTGGGCAGCCCCTGCCAGGGCCTGACCACCCTTTCCAGCAGGAAATTCCTCCTCCTGTCCCACCTGAGCCTCCCCTGGCACAGCTGGAGGCCGTTCCCTCTCCTCCTGTCCCTTGTTCCCTGGGAATTGGGGACCCTCCTGGCTCCCCCCTCCTGTCAGGGGGTTGCAGAGCCAGAAGGTCCCCCCTGAGCCTCCTTTGCTCCAGGCTGAGCCCCCCCAGCTCCCTCAGCCCCTCCTGCTGCTCCAGCCCCTTCCCAGCTCCCTTCCCTTCCCTGCCCACGCTCCAGCCCCTCCCTGTGTCTCCTGTGTGAGGGTGCCCATGGATCCAGCCTGGCCAGACCCCTCTGCAGACCCTTCCTGCCCTCCAGCAGACCCACATCCCACCCCCTTGGGGTCATCCACGACCTGACTGAGGTGCCCTCGACCCCCTTGTCTGGACTCGGATGAGAACCTGAACCAGGGCTGGGCCCAGCCCTGACCCCGTGTGACCCCCCTGGCCCTGTTCCCAGCTGGATGGCCTCCATCCCCCATTCCCTAGCCCCGGTTTGTCCCACAGGAGTGTCCCTGGCCATCCAGTTCTTTCCCACAGCAGCAACTGGAGGCCCTGAGGGGTGGCAGGGGCTGTGTCCTGCAGGAACAAACCTCAGTTCTGACAGGAATGGCAAAGCATGGACAGGGGAAAGCTTCATTTTTTAGTACTAATTTTTTTTTCCTAAACTGCCTGATTGCCTGTTCATGTTTAGTGAAGTTTGCTGTGTTATACGGGCAGGTTTTTGCAGAGTTTTCCAAACCAGCTTTGGATCCACTGCATTTCTGGGGGTAAAAAAAGGAACCTTTGGCTCGTATAGAATTTCACTGCCAAGTTATAATCACTGAGGAGTCACAATCCACTCCCTGGCTCGTGGCCCAGTGGGTTTCTCACTCACACTCTTCCAGGCTGAA